TGAGTGGTATCAATCAAGCCACTATAGAGATTCATACAAGCAGTTTCCATCCCATTGTAGATAGTCATTATTAGCCACCCTATAACGGGTCGCATGTGTTACCTCCTGAATATAAGAGACAAGTCGGACGTCCACGATCAGTACGTATAAAAGGTACGATGGATGAACGACGTGAATAAGCTCCAAAGAAAAATAGGTGTGGATATTACAGACAACCGGACCATAATAGATCTCATTGTCCTACCAATCCAAATAGATAGAAATTAATGAGTACAATTTATTTAATTTATAATTTTATTCTACTTCCTTTGTAAGTCAATGCATATATATAATTTCTATAATTTACTTCTAATTCTATTTATCATAAGTCACAATGCTAACACATTTTATCTTTATATGTGCAGATATTTAGAGTATGGAGGCGGGTCCATTGACATATGAAGTCCTTTATGACCAAGATCGACACTGATCATCGAAAATAGACTCTGGGAAGGTAAATTAAATTTTTATTATTTTCAGTCATTTTAAATTTTTAATGTTCTTACTGTTACTGAACATTTACACTATTTAATATACGCAGGCCCTGAGTGTTACCAATGTTGATCATACTCGTGCACATTCGAGTTAGGATTTGACGGATCCACATGCCTAATATTTTGTTCGTCAAGCAGGCATTTTTGAATGTTCACAAAGAAAATGGGTAAGACTTGGTTAGCCTCTCTTGATGGCATTGATTGAACGATGGAGGCTTGAGACAAATACATTTCACATGCGTCAAGGAGAGTCAACTATTACACAGCAGGATGTTGGAGTTTTACTTGGCCTCAAAGTGGATGGAGATGTTGTTACGGGTACCGATGACTTTAACTGGATAGGAGTGTGTGAATGATTGCTGGGTCAAACTTCTAATATGAACGGTGGTAAGATCAAGCTCGAGTGGCTACGAAATAATTATATGAATGTACCAATCGATGCAATTGATGAGATCGTCAAGAGCTATGCCCGTGCGTATATACTCCATATGATCGGTATTGTTATATTTTTGGATTCCACTAAGGATTTGGTGCATGTTAGATGGTTGCCACTTCTTGAGGATCTTGAGGAGTGTGGAGAGTTATCCTAGGGGGTGCAGTGTTAGCTTATCTCTACAGGGAGATGACAAAAGTGGCACTCGTGCAAAATAAAAAAAATTCAAAGGTTGCCTGACTTTGTTGCAAATATGGTCATAGGAGCAATGACATTTGGGAACACCAGATTTGAGGGAGACCCGCACTCTCGATGGCTAGATTCTGTTAAGACGCAGGTATATTAGTTTGTATTAGATATGATTACATGTAATTTTATACATTTATTTCAATCTATACTAACCCTTTGTATATTAAAAAGATGGAATGTTTCCAAATCTTGGCAAACCTCCCCAAAGGGTCACAAAAACTTTTATAGGAACGAGCTTGATCAAATGGAGGATGACCATGTATAAAATCATGATATCTAAATATATTCAATCGATACATTATTTGTTACTGATATGTAAATTTATATAATCATCTTTATAGGTCAAATGGATGCCTTATGAACTGGTTTTAGCTTCACTATCAGATATTTGCAAAGATGGTGAAGATATATGGCATGCTCGAGTACCAATTATATATTTTGAGATTGTCAAAATGCATGTGCCTGACTGTGTGCTCTGACAATTTGGATTAAAATAACATATTCTAAATCTTATAGAAAGAATAGAGCGAACTGGGGATCAAAAAGCACCAAATTTGATCCCCAAAAAGGAGCACATCATGTAAATTGGGAGATAATTCGTCATGCTTACATTGAGAATTGGGAGTTGAGGGAGGATGTTGTTGTAAAACCCCGCAAATTTAAATATTTTATGATAAATAATGATAAATATGTTATATAGTGAAAAATAACATATCTTGATGTTTGAGTATAATAAGAATTGATTTAAGATCAATTCAATGTATATTTGTGAAAATATGAGTGCAACTGCACAAAACATGCACAAAGGCCAAAAGAGTAAAAATTTGGGAATAATGACAAGTTATGATTTTCTATATTTTACACACCGATGAACTCAAAATCTAGAAAAGTATAAAAGACTAAAGTTGTAGATTTCTTTAACATATTTCCAAAAAATCTTAGATCACCTCATTCCAAGGTCGGATGAGAAAGATACAGCCAAAATACCGAAGGTTAGTTTCCTAGTCAGACTAGGTTTCCTGGTTCGGGTCAAACAGGTTTGTTACGGGTTTGCCTCTATAACTACCTGTGTTTTTCACGAAATTTTTTTTCTTTTATCATATCTATGAACCCTAGCAGCCACTCTCTCCCCTTAAAAACCCTAGATCTTTTTATTATGAGTTTGGAGAGCTTTGTGAAGCAAACCACCGACACGAGGGGCGAGATCATCGACGTGTGGCAAGGGAGAACGAGTTGTTTATGCTTGGGGATAGCTTGCTGCTTGTTTTAGAGGCTTGCACATGATATTAAGGCAAAATCACTTGCATCCAAACTCATCCACATAGTTAAATAACTAGCTTAGAAGTTTAATTTGTGTTTACATGCTTAGATCTTAATCTAATGTGAAAAATATTAGATTTTTGTTGTTAGATCTTAAACAAATGTTAGATCTACATATTTTTCTTGTTGTTTAAAAACATGATCATGATCGTTAGGGTTCTTCAAAATTTCATTTTTATCTTGTTAATCATGTTCTAATAAGGTTTAAACCCTAATTTGATATTTTAATTGAGTTTACATGTGGATTAAAGATGAGAAAACCCTAGGTTTGTGATACCTAAGTGTTAAAAATATGATGAAATGAATATTTATCTTTTCTAAGTTGTTTGACAATCATGCTTATGTTTAATATGTTAAAAGTTCATGCTTTAGATTGAAGAATGTGGCTAATTAGGTTGAAAAGCTCCTTTTTAGATTAACACAAGAGTTTGTTTATGTTTCATGCAAGTTTAAGGGTTTACGCATGTTTCTTGTTGCAAATAATCATGTTAAATATGTGATATAATTCCCAGAGATAATGATTTGATGTATACAATGTTCCACATATGTTTCAGTAAGATTTTAAACAAGTTTGAATCATGAAATCGACATGAACACAACACGGTGCAGAAACCTGCACAATCTAGAAATTTAACCCACAATCGACCGCGCCTTAGTGGCAATCGACCGCATGCAGGATAGAGGCCTGGGTAGGCCCTGGAGCCCATCGCGGTCGACCGTTGTACTTGTGCGGTCAACCGCCACTCATTCTTTCGCCTGTGCGTGTTTGTTTGGCTTTGTTTTGGTTTTTGAGAGAGTTTCTCGATCTTGTATTGATATATTATGATGCTTAAGTGTTGTTTAACTCCTAAGATGATGGTTAACACTAGTTATGGACACACACACTGAGATATTTGCACGTAAACTTAGTTTATATTGTGTTAACATGCACTGTTGAGATTTCTGATACACGTTGAGTTAATGAAAGTGTAATAACATATAATAAAAGTATTGTTTATCAGTTATGGATGCTCAATGTGGATCTTTCCCCTCAATGAGATCTCGGCTGTACCACACTAGGAGTATTGGATGTTTACCGTAATGAGACCGCGGTTGTACTAATATTCGAAGATGATCGGGGTTTTATCGGATTTGGCTTATATGTCTATACTCTGCTGTACGATCATCTAGATGCATCCTCCAGAAATAGAGAGATAAAACCTAGTGCCGCAAAACGATTGAGTAAGAGTATTATAATAGTATCGTTATTTTATGTATCCGGAATAAGGAGACAAAACCTATTGCCGTAGAGCGATTGAGTAAGAATATTACAAGAGTATCGCTATTGCATAAGGAGATACACACATATATGTATTATCAGTTATAGTTACTCCTATGTTAGATTACCCATGAGTTGGGTACATTCTTTGATTTGTGGCATACAGCATATGGCCTTTGGTCATTTTTGAGTTGGATGATATTCTCTTGTTATTGCGCCAACTACTTGAGAAGTAGTATGAGATTTTGACATTGGTTCTATATGGTTGAGGCTTAGAGTATTTCTTTTGAGTGTTATATTTAGGAGAAATTTTTAAAACCAACCTTTTTTAGAATTTAATAGGCAAAATCGACCTAAAGTGAAAAATATTAGCAAAACCGACCCTTTTCAGAAGAAAAGGGTTGGTTTTGCAGCTGAACGTGTTTTACGAACTGCACGGGACTAGCAGTCCTGTGCATTTGGTCTTGAGCAGCGGCAGGCCTTTTCAGAAGAAAAGGGTTGGTTTTGCAGCTGAACGTGTTTTACGAACTGCACGGGACTGCTAGTCCCGTGCACACTTGGTCTACCAGCGGCTGGGCTCTCTGCTTAAAAGTCGGGACTGCTAGTCCCGACTTTTAAGCAGAGACCAGGTGCAGCAAGTGCACGGGACTGCTAGTCCCGTGCACTTGCTGTGCCCACTTATGTGCACTTTCTTGCTGCATTTCAAGCCGTTCCTGTACATACATCAACACAAACATCAACTAACAAGTAACATACTCATTTCACCACTACATTTCATGTAGTCCCGTTACATACATCCATACAAACTTCCACTATCAAATTACATACTGATTTCACCACATACTCATTTCAAATCAAACAAATCACATCACACCACAAACTCCCACTAACAAATCCAACATAATAACACCACAAACCCACTTAGAAATCAAACATATCACACGATATTATCGACTACAAATCCAAAAATCACATCTCTAAATAGTTTTGTAATGTATATAACATGTAGTTTACATACATCCAAGAACTCTCCTCCTCCTCCTTTGGCTTCGTCGTCCTCCATACCGCCCTTCGACGAGTTTGTAATGTATATAACCTGTAGTTTACATACATCCAAGAACTCTCCTCCTCCTCCTTTGGCTTCGTCGTCCTTTGGCTTCGTCGTCCTCCATACCGCCCTTCGACGAGTTCGTCCTCCATCAACGCGGTCAGTAGGGGCCAATCGAGCTTTATCCAACGAAGCTTTGAACAAGTCAAGAAGCCGGCCCGTCCCACAGCTGATATGATACGCTCATCCTCTAACCGCCAACGGCTATGGCTGAGGCTATGATCAACCATAACGATACTCCCTCCTCTCTGTACAGCAAATGATAGTATAAGAATGCAATATTATGTAAATATAAATATTACAATTATAAAGTAACTGAATTACCTCTGTACAGGATATAAAATGTGAACGATGTTGAGCCTGGTCATATAAGACCTCATCACTAACCGGCCCAGGATCCATGGTGTACAAACCTGCACATATAATTATACACATGTTAATAATCAATCATATAGTAATTCAGTTTCTTTATTAAAGTATATAAAAATAAAAAAATGATATAAATTACCAATTAGTTGCTATCTATTGTGTCTAGATGGACAACGAGGTCGAGTATGTCCCGGTTGTTTGCAAAGACTACATTTTTTGTGCTTGACCACTCCTTCTCGCCCTTGATCCATGGTTCCCCTAATTCGCACAGATCGTGGTCGACCTGCTTGTCTCCGGTACTGAGGTGGAACTATATGTGGTCCATTATATTCAGGCCAATACCGACTATCATCAGGTGGATGAAAACTCTCACTATATGTCTTTTGATAGTGAGCTGTTGAATACCAAGGCGAGCAATACCGATTTCTGGGAATTCTAGCACCTCCCGGCTGATTAGAAGAAGCCGCAAGCACATGTGCACAGGGTATTTTTTGGAGTTGTGGTATGTTACATGTGCAAGTGCAATCAACATCAAATAGTTTAACGGTGTAGATACCGTCACAATCTTGTACCTGCCATTCGTTGTCGTTGAATACAGTAATTTGACATGATCTTGCTGCCTCAATTCTTCTATGCAAAATGGACTCATTTTTTGGTGTGTAACGTGTTGTCCAGTCTATGCCATCACCACGCCTTTTGTTGAAGTATGCGTTTAGTCTATAGAATGTTCTCGCAACCAAAGATTGTATTGGCATAGCTCGTGCTCCTTTAAGAACGCCGTTAAAGCTCTCGGAGCAATTAGTCGTCATCATGCAAAACCGCACACCCTCATCCTTACATAATGCCCACCGATGCTCGAATTGAGGCTTCAAGTTATTTTCAATCCAATTATGTGCATCTAATGACAAAGACTTGATTTTCTCCCTGCAATGTTCATACACTAATGTGTCGGTCGCACACCCGGCTTGCCACAAAAGATTTTGCAAATTAATCTCACCGTGTTTTTTCTTGAAATTATCTCTTATATGCCTTAAACAATATCGATGGTGATGTGGTGCACTAAAACCCTCATGTAACGCCCTTATAATTCCTTTCATCCTATCCGAAATAAAGGTAATTATTCTTGGCGCACGGACACTTGGAATCCACTTGTATATAAGTTCAAAAAACCACTTCCAACTAGACGTATCCTCCACCTCCACGACTGCAAATGCTAGAGGAAATAACCCGCCATTTGCATCTACACCGGTCGCTACAAGAAGCACGCCTTTGTACTTTCCATATAAATGTGTACCATCAATGCTCAATAGCGGACGACAAAAAGTGAAGCCCTTAATAGCAGGACCAAATGCCCAAAACACGCGAGTGAACCTCTCCATACCCGGTGCAATCTCTTCGGATAATATTTCGTATTCAGTACCCGGATTATTTCGTTTGATAGCTTCAAGATACTGTGGAAGTAATTCATATGATTTTTCCCAATCTCCAAAAATTTTAGACAACGCTTTCCTCCTTGCATCATATGCCTTATATTTAGATATCTTAATCCCCCGCATGTCATATACCCTCTGAAATATCTGACCTGCATTCAGATCAAGTTCAGCTCTAACTTCAGGCATAATTAGCTTACATATATAAGAAGAAGATGCAGAATAATCATCGACATCCACCGACGGGTTGCAACATGTATGAAGTCCGCAATATCTACATATTACAAATTGCCCATTTGATGATTTTCTCACGGCGGCATTTAGCAACCAAGGACATTTTTTATTTCTCTCATCTTGCTCATTTGCGTTCTCTACTTCATTCTTATCGTTAAAGAAGCATTTCACATTGTAGTTTGTTGCATTAGTTTTTACCGGCTTGAATTTGACCCGATTCTTGATGGACCATTCTCGGATTGCAAAGATCAGTGCCTCCTTGCTCTCGAATAGATCCCCTTTTTTAAAAGTGAAGTCCTCAGGTCGTTGTAAATTTGGCCCAACATCAACAAATCCAGCTTGAGAAGTATTTATCCAATCCTCATTATGAAACTCGTCGGGCAATGGATCTTCAGCTTCCACATAATCATTATTAATGTTAAATTGCTCCATCCAACGGGCGTCATCATCGATTCCAGCTGCCACATGCATGCTATCAATTTGCACTTCATCTTCTTCAATATGATCTGAATCATTATCTGCTTCATCTTCTATAATTTCTCCGACTGGTGGGTAACCCGTAACATGACCTGAAGCGTCGTTAAATATATTAGTTGACGTCCCACCGATAGAATACTCACTTAAATGTTGTGGTTGAGACCATGGCTCTTGACTTGGAGATGTCATAAAACCAATCGACTCGTTGTCTAAGTCAAGCATCCGAGAAAACTCTCCTTGAGGTCGTGAAACTTGGGCAAATTCCTGAATCGGATACTTCTCAATAAACAACTCAATTGACGCTTGCTTCTCGACTAATTGTTTCATATCATTCAATTCCTCATCTTCGGTAATCTCCACGGCAATAGTTCTACTCTCATTTATCGGACATTCTAAGAACACCCTAATTGTATATTCTTCTTTCTTAATTTTAGTAGCTCTGTGTATTTCCCTAGTCATTCCATCAAAATTACACGACTTAGATAGCATGAACATTTTCCGAGAACCTCAATCATACACCGGCAAATTATTCACTCCGACGCCGAGGCTCCCATTAAAGAAACAAATAATGGATATGGAGTTCGTCATCGAAACTGAAAATACACAGTCCATCATATGCAAATAATCTATTAATATCTGAATAAATCAACATCAAATTTATTACCTTAATCAATCTCAAATAATGGCTACACCCTTAATTATTATTCATCATTTGTAAATAATTGCTAAACCCTAACCCCCAAACCACATTATTCATCCTATTGCACAAAATAAAAACTAATCCTACCCAATTCTAGCAAAATTAACAGCCGGGGTCGGCGGGGACTGCAACTGGCGGTGGTCGGCGGCGGGGTCGAAGGCTCAAAGGCTTTTTTTTTTCGGGGGAGAACGCGAAGAGAACTGAAAGAAAGAACGAAAGAAAAAAAGGAAAGAGGGGAACTGGTGGGGTAGGCGGACTGCACGGGACTACTAGTCCCGTGCAGTTCCGTAACTGCAAAATCGACCATTTTAGGTCGGTTTTGCTAATTAATTTTTGGGACGGTCGATTTTGCCCAATAAAATTGAAAAATGGGCTGTTTTAAAAATTTCTCCTTATATTTATTCACAAAGTTAGAATTGGTATTTAGGGATCTACAATTTGAGACATATGGTATATATATGAGGGTTTCTTTGTTTGGATTATTTCGCTCGACGTACTACATCTCGTCTTGTAGGTGTCTAAATATTAACTCTATTAGATACGAGGAAAATAATATAGGTAGACTATGCTTAATAGATAGAGCCTCCACTCCATCTAGCAGCCCATCCCCTGGGGGCGGATGGAGGTGATCTTGCTGTAGCGCTCTGACGCTCTTGTTGTTGTTTTTTTTATTTAAATTATCTCTTTCACGCTGATCAGAGTTTCGGAGAGCCGTAGGATGATGGAGTTCTAGCATAGTCGTCGTCGCACAGTCTTAGTAGCTGAAGCTCCACTGTATAGTTTTGTTCATTGTTCAGACTTTAGAATTGTATTCATTTTGTAGAGGCTGAAAGCCTTAGTGAGATTTCATTTGACTCATTGTGTTGAGATGTATTTCAGACTCAGAGATATTTTCATTCTATTTCAGTTGGGCTCATTTGTTGATATACTTCTTTTGTCCATATCTAATTTTGTACTACTTCTATTATTTGCCTGTTTTGTACATTCACCTATTTGTTGTTTCCACTAGAGAGATAGTGACTGTGATGGTGAAACATGTCGTAGCATGGTGTTTGGTGTTTGACAGGTTTGACAATCCGGGTTTTACCTTGGACTATAGCCTTGTGTGAACCATGGGGCGTCACAGTTGGTATCAGAGCTCTAGTTCCAGCATCCTTAGGATTATTCTTGCGTCACATTGTGGAGCTAGGATAGAGTTTCCTAGGATTCATGTATAGAGTCCGCTAGGAATTCCTAGAATGAGTGAGCATAATATGTGCGTATATCTTAAAATTTCGAAAAAAATTTATGACAATTATTTTATGTTGATTTAAAGTATTTGCGTGAATACTATATGTTATATATACGTATTGTGATACGTTATATACATATGTATATATATTTGCGATCTCACTTACTGTGATCATAAGCTCTCCTCTCGATATTATAAATGTTGGGACGATGATACGGTCGAGATAAAACTCGTACCCGGAGAGCTGGGCAAGCAGAGCCGAGACGCAATAGGCTCCACAGTATCTGATCGATTTTATGGCATCGTTTGCAGTAAAATTTTGTAGCACTCAAGGAGAAAGAGGCGTATCCGTTTTCGCCAACAGTATTACTTTCTGGAGTTCCACCACCAATTGTACTAGTCATGCCTAATGAAGATGCAATATAAATGATTTTATCATCACCACAACCAACTGTTGATAGAACCGCATAGCACGAGGCTTGGCTCTGAAAGAATAGGAAGGATATCAGACACTGAGAACACCATAGTGCAGGGCACACTAGATTCATGTGCAACTTATAAATAAAAAGGAATATGTGAAAATTTCTTAGATTCATGTGCAACTTATAAATAAAAAGGAATATGTGAAAATTTCTTAACGTCGACTCAGTACCAAACCAGAGATTAAAAAAATTCAGCATAAAGAACATCACCAGGGAATAGTGGCAAAGGATAGCTACGGTTTTAGATTTTCGTTGGGACAGCGTATATCACTTATTTGGGAAAATTTTGTTTACTTCTTCGACAAGCAGTTAGAGCTAGTTCGATTAAAGCAGTAAAATATGCCTATAGTTAATTATGAAATCAAGACCAGCATGATGGTAATAACAAGGGCAAGAGGTCTATTATGGGATCTAGAGGACCCCAGCAGTGGGGTAAGGATTTTTACCATCATCAACAAAGACATTATAAGAAGATAGCACAACATGATTTAATAGCGCCGCAGCAGCGTATGATTCAGGACACATGATATAATTATAACAAGATCAGATATAGATTGAAGAATTGTTGCAATATACCAGCAGGAGACCAGCATGACAAAGGTCAGGGTCAATAGTCTTAGGGTCGCGGTTACGGCCAGCATCGGAGGATAGATGTACTACTGGTTATTTCATGGATTTAGGGGCCTATAGGCCAGAATTGCGCTATTCAGAGTATTCATCAGGGTCAGATGGACCCATACATTCCACCGTCGGCATCACAACAGTCACCAGCCACCGACAAAGTTTATGTAGTTGTATCATGTGATCATAGTGTGAGCGGAGTTTTCGTAGTAAATTCTTTTCCAGCTTGAATCTTGTTTGATTCAGGAGCTTCGTATTCTTTCATATCCCATGCCTTCATGTATAAGCTTCAGTTAGTTACACATCCCTTAGATGTTCAGTTATCAATTTCTACTCCTTTAGGGGAGGTGTCCCTATTAAAGAGTATATGTAGGAGATGTGTCATCAGTATAGATGAGTTTGAGTTCATCTTTGACCTGGTCATTTTTGAGGATGTCG